TAGTCTATAGTCTAGTCTATAGTCTAGTCTATAGTCTAGTCTATAGTCTAGTCTATAGTCTAGTCTATAGTCTAGTCTATAGTCTAGTCTATAGTCTAGTCTATAGTCTAGTCTATAGTCTAGTCTATAGTCTAGTCTATAGTCTAGTCTATAGTCTAGTCTATAGTCTAGTCTATAGTCTAGTCTATAGTCTAGTCTATAGTCTAGTCTATAGTCTAGTCTATAGTCTAGTCTATAGTCTAGTCTATAGTCTAGTCTATAGTCTAGTCTATAGTCTAGTCTATAGTCTAGTCTATAGTCTAGTCTATAGTCTAGTCTATAGTCTAGTCTATAGTCTAGTCTATAGTCTAGTCTATAGTCTAGTCTATAGTCTAGTCTATAGTCTAGTCTATAGTCTAGTCTATAGTCTAGTCTATAGTCTAGTCTATAGTCTAGTCTATAGTCTAGTCTATAGTCTAGTCTATAGTCTAGTCTATAGTCTAGTCTATAGTCTAGTCTATAGTCTAGTCTATAGTCTAGTCTAGTCTCTCTATAGTCTAGTCTATAGTCTAGTCTATAGTCTAGTCTATAGTCTAGTCTATAGTCTAGTCTATAGTCTAGTCTAGTCTAGTCTATAGTCTAGTCTATAGTCTAGTCTATAGTCTAGTCTATAGTCTAGTCTATAGTCTAGTCTATAGTCTAGTCTATAGTCTAGTCTATAGTCTAGTCTATAGTCTAGTCTATAGTCTAGTCTATAGTCTAGTCTATAGTCTAGTCTATAGTCTAGTCTATAGTCTAGTCTATAGTCTAGTCTATAGTCTAGTCTATAGTCTAGTCTATAGTCTAGTCTATAGTCTAGTCTATAGTCTAGTCTATAGTCTAGTCTATAGTCTAGTCTATAGTCTAGTCTATAGTCTAGTCTATAGTCTAGTCTATAGTCTAGTCTATAGTCTAGTCTATAGTCCAGTCTATAGTCTAGTCTATAGTCTAGTCTATAGTCTAGTCTATAGTCCCGTCTATAGTCTAGTCTATAGTCTAGTCTATAGTCTAGTCTATAGTCTAGTCTATAGTCTAGTCTATAGTCTAGTCTATAGTCTAGTCTATAGTCTAGTCTATAGTCTAGTCTATAGTCTAGTCTATAGTAGTAGTATAGTCTAGTCTATAGTCTAGTCTATAGTCTAGTCTATAGTCTAGTCTATAGTCTAGTCTATAGTCTAGTCTATAGTCTAGTCTATAGTCTAGTCAGTCTAGTCTATAGTCTAGTCTGTAGTCTAGTCTATAGTCTAGTCTATAGTCTAGTCTATAGTCTAGTCTATAGTCTAGTCTATAGTCTAGTCTATAGTCTAGTCTATGGTCCTAGTCTATAGTCTAGTCTATAGTCTAGTCTATGGTCTAGTCTATAGTCTAGTCTATAGTCTAGTCTATAGTCTAGTCTATAGTCTAGTCTATAGTCTAGTCAATAGTCTAGTCTATAGTCTAGTCTATAGTCTAGTCAATAGTCTAGTCTATAGTCTAGTCTATAGTCTAGTCTATAGTCTAGTCTATAGTCTAGTCGATAGTCTAGTCTATAGTCTAGTCTTTCGGAATTAAGACATTGATGAGCTTGGATCCAATTATATGGAAATCATTTCTTTAGATAATGAAAAACTTCTTAAAAAAATAAACTATATTATTCACGTGTCCCTACAAAGACCTTATCTCACAAATAGGGCTCTCCAACAAAAAATACGTTAGGCCAATTTCAACATAACACACAAATGCAAAAAAATATACATAATGATGTCTAACCAACCATCATCCATCTCCCAAAGACCCTAAACCTTTCAAAAAATGATGAAGCACGTTTTCCATTAAATGTTGTATTTTGTATGCCTAAGATGAGGAGGAATTGTTTATGTCTTTTATAATGTTTATTTGTGGCCATCAAGGGTCGATACTATGTATATTTAAATAATTTGATAGGAAGTGTTCATTCAAGTTTTTCGTTATTGTTGTGTTTTTTTTAGCTTGTTAGAAAATCTAATTTTTTATGATTTACTTATTTTTAATGGGTTTTTGTCCTCTCTCTTAACCCCACTTATAATTTGTTGTCGTTTGTTGGCAAATGCAAATATTTAAGTAAAAAGGATTTTGGAAGGGGAAATTTTTAAAATAGGCTTAAGTTTTTCTCATTTTTTATTTGCTCACAATATGTTCATTAAAGTGCTGATGTTAGAAAATCATAAAAATTTTATCCATTGTAGTCTGGATACAGCCACATTGGGTAACACCTCTCTAGATAAACTCAACAACAAATATTGTAGCTATAAAAATTAAACAATAATAAAAAATGTACAGCGTTTAATGATCCGTTTTTATTGAAATCCACATGTGTAGAAAATAATCGGTTAATGTTTTTGTTTTTTTGTCTTGCATGAGGAAACAGAAACATTTTGTCCCTATACTATCTAATCCCATAAGAACCTTAAGATATACTGCAGATTTTAAACGCTAAAACTCTTGGTGTTTTTTTTTTATGGTTATGCTTAAAGCTTAAATTAAATGGCCATTTGTGCGATTAGAAAAAATATATAAATTTATATGGTCATTTGACCAATGTCCTTCTTAGATTGTTCAATGGACCGATATAGACAGTTTGATAATTTATCAAATTTTGTCATGCTGCAAAACTTCTGAGTTCTTGTGGACAATAACAACCGATTTTTTCAGATTCTTCCCGATAATTTTTAATACAATTACGATTACGGCCGACTATCAATCACTTAGCTAAATCAATATGATTTATAGCAGTTATGCCTCCCCATAACTTTTTCCTTATTTGTTGAGTCACTTTCAACATTATCTTGAGCTATATTTACTTCCCATGTACATATAGATATTCTTACATGTATGGATGTAGACTTCCAATTCCAATTATACGCATTACAATTCAATTTGATTGAGTTTCGATTAAACAAAATTCTTGTATAATCTACAAACCAACGCCAACTATTTCAAGTCATTCTTTGTTATTGAACTTTATAATTATTAAACCTTTTTACTTCAACTACTAGTTGAACTTTTTCCTACAATGAAGAAAAATCCGAAATTTAAACCTCATCATTATAAAGTTTGTTTTTTTCTTGTGCAATCAAGAAACCTTAAAAATATTTGTTCATTGAAAGTTCTACTAAAATCTGGTATTTTGTGGTGTCCAGTGCAGAAAAAATATATATGAAATTCATAGTTTGGTTTTAGCTTACTTTAACATTGCCTTAAATTATAACGTCTAGAGTATGGTGAGAGAATAACCTACTCAGCACATATACTTAGATTGAAATTCTCCAATCCCGCATAAATAGTTTTAATATTGTTTTTTTATACCCTACACAAGTAGTAGTTTTTAACAGTCAAAAATTTTCTCAGAATCCTAAACCTTGTAAAAGAAATTATAGGCCTCATATATAGGCCTTAAAAAAATAGAAATTAACTTTGCTAGGAAAGTGTTTAAAATACTTCAGAGTGTAAAGCTTCAGTGGCCGGCCGAAGGCCTGCTATACGTAACACAATTGTACTCAAAAACAGAATTGAGTCATCCGCAATTAAACCAATTCGAAGCGGTTTTAGAAGTACGTAAAGTACACAAACGGAAAAGGAAATATACCCGCCTGGTACAAAATTGACACCAAAGAGTTTATAATTTTTCAATAACATCAGTTGTCAAAGTATATACATACGTACGACAACACTATGTAAGGTTGACAACGCAACGTTGTCACATTGCAACAATGCGTTGTCGAAATCTAAATTTTATACACATCCGTTGTCTAAATGTTAACAAACGTGGTAGTGAGTACGGTTGTTCTTAAACCTAATACAAAATACTTAATTCAAGTACGTATCCGTTAAGTACGAGAAACTAATTTTAAGACTTTTTTTGGATCAAAGTGATAGTACAATATAGTGTTTTTGAGAACTTTAGGTTTGATTTAAAATAAAAATACTTGATTTGAAATAAAAATATGTTTAAATTAAGAATGTAAATGATTGAAGTAATCCCAAAATGGACTTAATTTAAGCTCGATTCGTCCTCCTTAAATTTAGTATTTGACTTTTCTTTCTGTGTAGGAGATACTATTTGAACATAGGACATCATGACTCGTTACATATGGCTCCGTTTAGTTCTCTTGGAATATTACTCTATAGAACACTTTCACGATTTGTAAAAAGTCTTAAAATATCTGATAAATGCTCAATCAAAGGGTCGTCCCTGGGCTTAACCCTTCTACAAAGGGATATTCCCCCGGCGACCCTAACAGAATTTATAGACGATTTTTAAGACGGAACTCAGGTGGTCAAATATCACCACTTGTAAAATATCGAGACTGCTCTGGCCCACTCTGACAACGGATAGGACTAAGACTCTCTTGTCTCTTAGTAAGAACTCGATTAGGCTTCGGATAGGACTAGGACTCTCTTGTTTCTAGTAAGAACTCGATTAGGCTTCTAACTGGTATAATTACTGGGCACTGTATGATTGGACATATGTCGGAACGCATGGGCTACCCACATTATAACTACTGTAGAATCTGTTCGGACGAAGAGGAATTGGAATCGGTGTATATCTTGGTAGAGCTCTTTTTCATGATCTGGAATGTCTTAAAAGATGTATCACTAGTAAACATGATCGGTTTTATTAGGAAAACCGGCTGGTTTTCACGAAGAACCAGCAAGAACGAAATAATCAACGAAATTAGGAAGGGTAACCATTCTCTCAACATAAGGGAATGACAATTCTAAGGGTATCACAATGGACCACAAGGCCTAAGAGTGAACTCGCTAACTAGCGAGCCACCCACGTAACCTAACCTAAGCTAAAAAGTCTTGATCTATAAATGTCATTGCGTTCCCCAAGATCACTTATTTGTAGCCGATGTAGTATATCATATGGTCGACCATTCCTATTCTTCATTATTGTTGTAAATATGTGTTTTCTTTTTTGTTTAACTTATTTTGGTATGTTTTCTTCATCTCTTTTACAGAATTCATGGAGCTTTGGAGGACGACAAAGTTACTGCACAAATAAAACTGAAGACTTAAACTCAGGTAAGTGATTCAAGACAAGAACTTAAGTAAAATGTAACAGAACAAGTGTGTAACTCTGGGGTGTATATAAATTTTCTGATATGCGAAAATGATAAAAGTGTGGAAGTAGAAGAAAACAGACAAGATTTTTTCCCATCTAGGAACTTACTACCAGAGAAATTAACTTAGAGCAGCGTATATGTCTGTGAGATTTACTAAACAGCAATTTATTTGCAAAATAGTACTTTCAAGTGTTTTGAGTCAAGTGTTTCGTTGAATCATGACTAAAGTTTATTTATTTTTATTATTATTCCTTGGCTACAATTTAATTTAAGGACCCATCCGTTTTGTATCTTTTGTTACATTATGGATGACAGGCTAGACACATTTACGAGTGTTTGCATGTGTGCCAGCTATATGTGCTTAAATTTATTGCAGCCCAGTCCACAACCATCACCACCAGTACCAACCAAACAACCAGCACTCATTATCAAATCAGCCAAAATTAGAAAAAAAAAGGAAAATTAAATGCTGAAAATAAGAAACACATATTGATTTGGACAAAAGAAAATAATTTATTATATTATATTGTTTAACTGTCAATTAAGGTTGTAAATCACTTGATGTTGATATGTTAATTGTTCAAATTCTTTTCAAGCATTTGGGATTTGGTAAGAGAGAAATGATTTATGTTTGAACATCGTAAGGAATATCATACACATATTTCCAAAGAGAGTGCTGTATGGCCCAAACTGTAAGCTTTTATTTCGAAGCCCACCAGAATGTTCAGTTTATTGTTAAAATAAATTTGGAAATCAAAAAGTTAAGTAAGTTTTTACTTAAATCAAGTACGGATCCGTTAAGTACAAAATACCTAAATTAAGACTTTTTAAGCTCCAAGTGATTTTAAAATGTACTTGTTTTAATAATTTTCGTTTCGATTTAAACTCGATGTCATACTTGCTTTAAGATTAAAATGAGATTGCTTTAAGACTGTAAAAGATTGAATTAATACCAAAATGTGCTTGATTCGAGCTCAGTTCGTTCATGATTTCAGAACATTTTAGAAAAAACGATCAATACATATCTTCAATATGATGATATAAAACTCAGCTTTATATTGGAAAATATAGTATAAGATTTTTATTTCTGTGCAGATCAATATAGGCGGTATAAGCGTGGAATTAGTGGAAATATGCAGGAAAGGAGACGCAATGCCGTTTGGGGAAACCCTGAACGTGAGTTTCGCAAACTTAAACACGAAGAACTTTTTGTTGGAACTTGAATGTGAAACTTCATAAGATCCTACTAGACTTTAAACTTCTGCACATTTCACGATAGAAGTGATCACTTTTCCAACTAGAATCGTTATATGGGCAAATTTAAGGCGTTTGATTTGTGGAACAAACCCCCAAAAACTGTACATCTAAAAAACTACAAATTGATCGCAATGTGAGTAGAAGTTTCGAATTAGACAACGTATCGGTGCAATTAGGTAGGAGATCCGAAGAAGTCGATTTCTCCCAGTATATAAGAATTTGTCTTAACAAGTCTTTAACTTGGGAAATTTTGCGTAGGCTCCAGTACCTTTAGTTCTAATTACTCAAGGAGTTCAAAATAGTTCCGAAGTTTTGCGGTATATGGCCTTGATTTTAGACACAAAACTACTTCGAGTGGTACATGTAAATTTAACTGATGGAAGATGATAATGTCTAAATTCATATCTGACTGAGATCGAAGTGTTTCAAAGATAAGGAAAAAACTTAGTGAATGTTTCTTAAAGGCTCTGATCCACACACAATATTAAGCTTGATCCTCGAATTATCGAATTTTCTATTCTATTTTTTTCTTGGTCCACTATTCAGGGGATGACCTCTATTTATGCAGTGCATTATGTTGAACTAAGAAAATAGGTTATAGAAAGGGGGTGGGGTAGAGGGAAATGTCGAAGTGCTTTAAGTGAACACCTGCCATGTTCGCCTATTTCATCATGTGGCCTCTTTCAACCACTGGGTGAGCTTTTGTGACGACTTACCACCGCCCCATTGTGCTTCTTACACGGTGGTAATTTACGTATATTAAAGTTCCGGTCCAGTATACGTGCACTTTGCTCAAGTACTTGAGCTATCTAATCTCTGACCATTGCTGCCCCGTTGTTCAACTTCCGATATGCAAAAATATCACTTCCGTTTACAACTACGCATATGGGTTGGCCTCTGTTGACTCGGCAACAGCTCCTAGAGACGTAACCGGTAGACCGAAGAACGAATCCATCAAATAAGCCGATACTTTGTTCTTACTCATAGTGACACACGGTGGCAATTCTGGTATGAATAGAGTTTGCTCTGACCTTTCATCCATCACCATTCAACCCAGCACACTTTTCATTTATTCGACACACTCATAATACCCTACCCCTACATTCATCCTGTATCATATACAAGGTAGTAGAGGGAGTAGTGTTTGTAGACATTTTATTTTATTCTTTTTACATCGAAAGTAGCTGGGAATACCTCTGTGGAAAGTCTATTTCACATACGGCGGTTCGGCTGAAGAATGAATATTCCCTTAAATGTGTTGTGCGATTCACGGTCCTATTGATCATAAAAGGGTGTGTTCTTGATGAAAGATGTGTGTTGCACAAAAAAAAATCGGGTATCGGGAACAAGTTCCCTAATATCAGAAGAACACATTCCATTGCAATATCGATAGACGATGCTCTAGTGAATCAATAGAGTTGGATATCCTACAATCACCAACTGTACGCGGTCGAGTAGCTCCGAAATAAACCTTGAAGCTCCGGCCCATATTCCATTTTCGGTCGGATATATGTGATATAAATAATGAGGAGATCTGATGAGATTTTACTTCTTCTTTCGACACTTGAAAAATCCGTTTAGTCCAGCGTAGATCGCACTGTATTAATGCTACGAGCATCAAGAGTTTCTAATTCCTTAATATTTACACCACTCATAGATATGTATGGAACAACAATATCTAACATGCGTTTGTGAGTCAAGAAGCAACATTGGGTCTTACGGGCGTTGAAATCGACTCTATTAGCTCGACCCCATTCAGAGATTGTTACTGTCAGGGTTGAGCGATTCATTCATGTTATACCCTAATCTTCAAAGTGCTTGGTCTGTGATTGAACGATTATGAACTTTGATAAAGAAAGTCGCTTATGAAGATGAGAAACAGAGTAGGGGAAAGAACGGAGCCTTGCGGTACTCCTGAATTTATCTCGAATTCTTTAGATGAAATCACATCTATAACAACTCGTATAGTGCGATCCCTGAGAAAACTTGAAATAAATCGAGAGAAATTATTACCAAATCGTTCTATTCGAGTTTGCAAACGTGTTTCATCATGCATCCCCTCAATGATTTATTTTCTAGGAATAATTTAGATTCCAAAATAACTCAAAGAAAACAATATTATTAGTATTAGTTTATTTTAATAATAGTAGTTATAATTTATTCAAAATATACTTCATCTGTAGTATAAAGATCCTTTTTAATAAAATTAGAATAAATTTTCTTAAAACTAAAAAAATAATAAAATATACTTTAATATAAAATAAAATATTAAAAAAAAAAATAAACAATTAAAAATTAATAACAACAATTTATGTTTGACATACAGACACAAAAAAAAAACTAAAAAGCAAATTATAAAAATTTTCTTTAAAATAATTACAAATTTAATTTAAACAAAATCCCTACACCAAACTACAAACACTTTTTAATATCGTTGCACCAAATTGAGAATTTTTCATAAAGTTTTCTAATTTATAAAATTTTTTTTCTTACATTTTTTTTTGTTTATTTCATAAATAACACTAAAGAAGAAGAAGAACAACTAATAATAAAACTTAATTGTATAAAAAAAAAACAGAGAAAACAAAATTTTTTTTTAGTTAAAGTTGAGCTGCTGTTCCATTTAAAGTTTATTGATACTGGCATTCCATTTCATATTTGAGTATCAATATGTTTCCGTTTTCCTCTTCGTCCGTCTTTATTTCATTCTGTCTGTCATGCTGTTTTTTACAACTTGTCATCTAGACTATCATAACAATCTGTTTCCGTTTCCGTTGAAGCCGCAGTTTGTTGACTATTGGCAGTGGCCATTGAGGAAGAGGCCGAGACCTTTGATGTATTGGAAGACAAGGATGAGGTGGTGGAATGTTGTTGTTGTTGCTGCTGTTGCTGAGCATTGATTTGTTCTATGCTGTTGAAGGAGTGATTGTCAGGATTGTTACGCTTCTGCTCTTCTTCAATTAATTTTTCAAAGTCTTTGGTTGGATCATAGATTTCAAATTCCTCAAATTCAATATCATCATATTTTCGCTTCTCATAGATACTTTTATCATTGGCCACATAATGTTTGACAACTGTTTTATCTATAACGGATGTAACACTTGAAGTGGTGCTGAGAGGCAAAAATGATTTTTCATCACCACCACCACCACTACCTTTGGAGCTATGGGCCAAGGAAGTTGTGGAGTATAAAGAGTTGCAGGTGGAGGAGGTGTTTGTATTATCCATATTCTTTAGCTCCTTGGAGGTATCAACACGATGTATTTCAACAGGCACAATGATTTGTGAAGGTTTATTGTTTGTAGTTCGGTTAATGTTTGATGAGTTTGTTATTTTGTTATTCGTTTTATTTTGAGCTTCATCAACTTTTAAATCCCCCATTGATATTTTATTTTGTGTTTTTGTTGCTGTTGTTGTCACTTTTGTTGTAGCAGTTATTGTTGGCAACAAAGTATTTTCATATGTCACCAGTTTTTTCGACAAACTCGTGTCTTTATCCATTGTATTTGATTCTTGTTCTTGTTCATACATAGAAGTCAACTTTTCTTTACCAATATGTGTATTATTTTTGCCAATTTCAGGGTTGATCCCTGTGGATTTAGCTGGCTGCTGCTTAACAAATGTAAATGCCAAATCGACATTTTTATTACGGCATATTTTCACACATGTTCCCGCATTACCATTACCACCATTACTCCTAACTCCATTACTATTATCCAAATGTATATCTTTAGCTTCACTGTGATACATTTTTTGTTCTTCCTCCATTTTCTTGTCAGCCATTTCTGTTCTTTCCTCAAGTCTTACCAAATCATTTACTGCGGCACAAGACTCTGTTAGATTTCCTTTAGCAATATTTATGTGATTATTTACAGTTACTAGTTTAATGCCACAATCGTGATTCTTTTCCTCAATGTTCGGACCCTCTCTATTAGCAGGAGTAATAGCATTTGGTGTATAAACTTCATTATTATTTGCTTTATGTTGATAGTTTTTGTTGTTGTCTACATTATCTTGACAACATGTTTGATTGTTGATTGTTAGTGTTGGTTCATTGTTGGTAGTGCCTTTCATTGACGTACGCATATTGCTGCTACTGCTGCCACTGTTGGTTTTCGATGCTTCAAAATGATGTACCATTTTGCGTACAACTTCCGTTTCTTCGGGCTCATTATCTGTAGCACCAGCCAATTCCAAACGACTGCTGCAACTGTTTGATTTAACAAGTTTAAATGTTATGCCTCCGCCTGTTGAAAAATAGAAAGGATAATAAATATTAAGTTAAATCCTTAATAGTGTTGTCTAATAAATAAATTATACGGGTGACGGAAGTGTTATTTCGTAGTCCAGATTGCAGTATATTCCATAGGTCAGAGCACTATATAGTGCGTAGTCTAAACTGTAGTCTATTATAAAGTCCAGATTACTGTCGACTGTCCAAACTGGAGCCTTGTCCGGGATATATTGTAATTTATAGTCCAGACTATAGTGTAATCTATAATTCAGACTATATAGTAATCTATAGTCCAGACTACAGTATACTCTAAAGTCCAGACTATTGTGTAATCTATCTTTCCAGACCCTAGTGAAATGAATACTCCAGACTGTAGTGTAATATTTTGTCCAGACCGTAATGTAATCTATAGTTCAGACTATAGTGTAATCTATAGTCCAGACTATAGTGTAATCTATAGTCCATACTATAGTGTAGTCTATAGTCCAGACTATAGTGTAGTCTATAGTCCAGACTATAGTGTAGTCTATAGTCGAGACTATAGTGTAGTCCAGACTATAGTGCAGCCTATAGTCCAGACTATAGTGTAGTCTATAGTCCAGACTATAGTGTAGTCTATAGTCTAGACTATAGTGTAGTCTATAGTCTAGACTATAGTGTAGTCTATTGTCCAGTCTACAATGAAGTCTTTAGTCTAGAACATAGTGTAGTCTATAGGCCAGACTATAGTGTAGTCTATAGGCCAGACTATAGTGTAGTCTATAGTCCAGACTATAGTGTAGTCTATAGTCCAGACTATAGTGTAGTCTATAGTCCAGACTATAGTGTAGTCTATAGTCCAGACTATAGTGTAGTCTATAGTCCAGACTATAGTGTAGTCTATAGTCCAGACTATAGTGTAGTCTATAGTCCAGACTATAGTGTAGTCTATAGTCCAGACTATAGTGTAGTCTATAGTCCAGACTATAGTGTAGTCTATAGTCCAGACTATAGTGTAGTCTATAGTCCAGACTATAGTGTAGTCTATAGTCCAGACTATAGTGTAGTCTATAGTCCAGACTATAGTGTAGTCTATAGTCCAGACTATAGTGTAGTCTATAGTCCAGACTATAGTGTAGTCTATAGTCCAGACTATAGTGTAGTCTATAGTCCAGACTATAGTGTAGTCTATAGTCCAGACTATAGTGTAGTCTATAGTCCAGACTATAGTGTAGTCTATAGTCCAGACTATAGTGTAGTCTATAGTCCAGACTATAGTGTAGTCTATAGTCCAGACTATAGTGTAGTCTATAGTGTAGTCTATAGTCCAGACTATAGTGTAGTCTATAGTCCAGACTATAGTGTAGTCTAGTCCAGACTATAGTGTAGTCTATAGTCCAGACTATAGTGTAGTCTATAGTCCAGACTATAGTGTAGTCTATAGTCCAGACTATAGTGTAGTCTATAGTCCAGACTATAGTGTAGTCTATAGTCCAGACTATAGTGTAGTCTATAGACTATAGACTAGTCCAGGATTGTATAATAGTCTTTAAACTACAGTCTATAGTCCAGCCTATAGTGCTGTCTATAATCCAGAATATAGTATAGTCTATAACCCAGACTACAGTGTAGTCTTAAGTTCAGATTTTAGTGTAGTCTAAAGTCCAGACAGTAGTGTATTATATAGTCCACAATATAGAGTGGTCTATAGTACAAACTAGTATGGGTTATTAGTCCAGACTATAGTGTTGTCTATAAATCAAACTTTCTCGTATACTCAACGAATTTTTTCCAAATACCTTTTCCTACAAATCTTTTAAACGGTTATGCCACCTACTCTTCGAAATTTAACTACATAATTCTAACCAATTTAACCTTTTTCCAATTCCCCACTGCAATAACTGTTCAACTCCCTTAACATTTCTTAAAACAATAAAAAAGAATAAATAAACGAGTATAACTTACCATCATTACGATCGGCCTTATCACCTCCTTTGAATCCTTGAGCTTTATGTTTAACACTATTATTAATATGTTCGTAGTGTTCATCTTTGGGGTTTGCGGCCGTTGTCATTTTGCCACCATTGTTCGCCGTCACATTATCGTTCTTTATTAAGTGCGATTTCTTTTGTTCTAATTGTTTTCCATGAAAATGATGATGGCATTCGTTATTAGTGCCTTTCATAGAGCATATTGCAGCAGCACCCTCTGCTGAATTATTACAACAAGTTTCAATTTCACGAACTCTAGCCCTTGTTTGGGTTTGTGTCATCATTGTGGGATTTTTAAAGGGCATTGCTGTTGCAGTTGCATTGTTTGCTGCAGCAATTGTATTATTGAAATGGTGGAGTCCATTGTTGTTAGCACAGCCATAAGTTTCATGTGGATTTGCAGACGCGGACGTGGAGGTTGTTTGTACAACACGACCGCCGTAATAGGTAACGGAAGAACCACATTCGCGTATTTTACGCAAAACATCCTGTTAAAAAGAGACGAAAAGAGAAAGAGTTTTAATTTGAAGTCAAAAGGATTTTTTTTGTGTGCAATATCTTTATTTACAATCTGTTGTAAAAATTTTATCAAAAGTTTTTCATTGTATTTCCTTCACAAATTAATTATCCTTTAAAATTTATATCTTTAAATTAGGCTTGTTTACTTTCGCTTTAGCTTTCTCTGCTGCATGTTGTGGTGTTCTTGGTTTTGGTCATAAAATTTTATGGCTGAGATAATAATAAGATTGTTGTACTCGAGTTATTTTCTAAAAACTATAAATTTATTTTTATATTTATTACCACATTGTTTTCAAAATGGACTAAAAGGATTTAAGAGTTATTCAAGGTTGTTTGTTGGTTAAATAAAGTCTTTAGTAAGATTGGAAAAGCATGTCACACTTTTATGAATAATTTGATTTGTTTAAAATTATTCAAGTAGAGCTAATTGAGTCCACAAATTACAAAAGTTAAAAGCGAATTGTAACTAATTGTTGACAGAGACATAGGGAATGGATTCTTCATCGAAGTATTAAAAACTAATCCTAATGGTTTTAACAAAATGATGTAATTTTATTACACAACTTTTCAAACAATTAATAAATTGCAAAAAAAGTTCTGAAAGTTCATATATTGCGGTTGGAGAGCTTATTTACATAAGAACGTTTCAATTTCTTCAGGTTGGTATTCCTGATAACCTAATCATTGTTGTCCTTGGCGTACGAGAACTCGGATTTTCATAGCATTTATCTGGTTGAGATTTGACCGAACTTGTAATCCTTTCTTTAGCCTCGAAAGCTTTATTGTATGAGACGTTCCCCCCGCAGCATGTTACCTTGATGCATCTTCCCCATCTTGGTGTTATTGCAATCCCGGGGAAAAGAAGTGCTACCAGTAACTCTAGTCGGCCGGGACTATAAACTGGTGATGATCAAATGTATCCTCGGTCTTTGCTTGGATTGATTTGACATTGGGTCGATCCAGAAAACCACATAATCTGTTACCACGAGAACCGGTAGCCCGCAGGTCATAGTTTCGGACTTTTTTTTGTCCCGGTTGTTGGAGAGGTTACTTCGGGTTGTACGAAGGGAGGGGGGCTGTGGTTTAAAATTAAATTCGCGGGAAGAGAATGTAGGTTAAAGGACTGATGCACGGTAAAGTTTATTATTCGGGATAAGTTCATTGCTGTTGCACCGTGACAACAGATACACCACAGAGGTCCTCCCGGGCCATTTTTTCCTGATGAAAGACCCTCATCTTGGTGCATTGCAATACCGTGGTAAAGAGGTGCTACCAGTACCTTTAGTCTGCCGGGACTATAAACTGGTGATGTCACTTCCCGCCTTGGCTAGTCCTTAGTATGATTTGACATGGTGTCTAACCAGAGAACCACATAATCTGTTACCACGAAAACAGGTGCCCACAGGACAAAGTTTCGCACTTTGTTTTGTCCCGGTTGTTGGAGAGGTTACTTCGGGTTATACGTGGGGCTGTGGTTTAAACTCAAATTCGCGGGAAGAGAATGTAGGTTAAAGAACTGATGCACGGTAAAGTCTATAATTCGGTATTAGTTAGGTGATGTTGCACCGTGACAACAAAAACCCCACAGAGGTCCCCCGAGGCATGTTTCCATGATGAAAGGCCCTCATCTTGGTGTTAACTGTCTCTCTAGTCTGCCGGGACTATAAACTGGTGATGTCACTTCACTCCTCAGCTAGTTCTTGGTATGATTTGACATAGGGTCTAACCAGAGACTCTCATAATCTAGTACTACGGGTGGTCAGTACTTGCTCTCGATCAAACGTTGAAAAATGCATTTTAAAGTCAAATAATACATTGTTTATGGAGTATTGGACTTAACTATTACATGATTTTGGAAGAACTTAATGCACTACTTTTTCAGTGTTCGGGAAATGGATTAAAACTGAACTCCAAGATAAAACTATACCGTTCCTATCTAAAATTACTCAGTTCCCAGTTTCAAGCTAATTTTTAATTCCTAAAATATCAAATTAATTTTCCTGCTGCACTCCTATGAACATAAACTTAAAAATTGACACAAAATTTTACAATATTCACTTAATTACTCACATTACTGACATAGTATGTATCACACAACTCATCCTCGTCATCTTCAACATCACCAAACAAATCATTGTCATCGTCATCCCCATCAGCATCTCCATCATCGGCAGCCTCATGGTCATCGGAATCATGATGCTTAATATGATATTCATAAATGTCACGATAATTACTAGACTTGGAACTTTTGTGTAATGAACCATAGATGGCACTACGAGGACGTATGCCTGATGAACGTACCGGTACGCCAAAGGCAGAGGAACGTGGTTTTCTTATAGTATTACTGCTATTATGTTTTCTTACTAAATCCTGAACATGTACGGGTTTTGTAGCGTCATCATCAACATCAACTTGTTCTTGTTTAGCTAAGTTTTCCTCATTATTTTCAGAGTCCTTTTGTTGTCCTGCACTATTGTTGTTGGCTGTTGTTTCAGTATGTTTTTGATTATTTTCCATGTCATTGCATTCACATGGTGATGACAAATCTCCACTTGATATACCACTAGAAAGACTGGCTGTATCCCATTTTCGTTGTGGTGAATTTATAGATTGTTTGGCTGCTGCTGTTGCTGCTGAGGCGGCTGCAGTAGTTGCATGTCCATAGGAGGTGTCTATGGTGAGGTAACGATATTTTCTAGCCCTACGTGATTTAGGACTTGTTTGTTTTGTTGTAGTTTTGATGGCGCCATTATTTTGTTGACTATTCTTTGTGAGCAGTCCTTGACCTGGTGTTGGCAGTATGTGCTCTTCAAAAAATTTACGCACATTTCGCACAGTATCTGGATTTGGCAACTCCTCTTCATAGAGTTCACGATTTACTCGTACGGGTTGATAGAAAAAGTGTCGTTTTATGCCACTACCACCACAACCATTTCCGCTACCCGCCAGAGCATTAGAATTTATATTGCCAGCAACAGTATTACTACGTTGTTTTCGTTTGCCATCATTATTTTGGACATACTGTGTTGGCAGAGCCTTCGTTGCACTGGCATCTTTTGTCTGACGACCGTTTATGGTGTTAGTTGTACCAAATGGTCTTTCAATTTTAGTGCGCACCGGCTCCACTATGACTACGTTGTTGTTGGACAACAACTCTTGGAAACTGTATTCCTGCAAGTACTGAATAAGGCCATCGAATTGTGCCTCCTTTTTGTTACGTGCCAACACATTGCTGCGCAGCAGTTGTTGTGATTTCAAAACTTTGTAACGTATATGATCGAATTGTGGCTCATTGGCGTCATCAATATCTCCATCGTTGGCCTCGTTGCCACCTAAAGACGATAGATTCGATGGCACCGCACTAACGATGGTGGCTTTTTTGTCACCATCTAATTCGACTATTTCGATGGAGGGCATAAAACTGCAATAGTCATCCTGGTGGTGGTGGTGTTGACTGTTGTTATTGTTTGCCAACGTCTTGTTGTGGCTGTCACCTGATGTTACATTTCTTACATGCATTCGATTGTCTACTTCATCTGGAGACGTGTAAGTCGTGGCTGTTGTTGGTTGAGCACCTAAAATAAATTGCTTTTTTTCTTCGTAACGATGCTCCTGGTGTTTTTGTGGAGTTGGCTGCTGTGACTGAGATTCATTCAAATTTTCCGTGTCATTTGTTTTCTTTGATTGTTTCGTCGGCAATATTTGCTCTTTATATTCTGGTGGCTGCTGTTGTTCATTTACCACTTCTGCTTTCTGTTTATGGTTGTTGTTGTTAGATGGTTGCTCCTTTACTTTTTCAGATTCTTCATCTTCTCGTTCGTCATCTGCTTCGTGTTGTTGCTGCTGCTGCTGTTGTTGCTGTTCTAAATCACTATTTACCAATTTGGACCAATAACAACGTACAGCATCAACCTTTTTCAAATATTCGTTTTCTACTTGACTGCCTTCTCCATTATTGTGGAATATATGGTTGGCATTAAATGTTGCTGTTGTTGTGTTAGTTGTCGGGTTACCAGCCGTTGGGTTGCCAGTCACTGCCAAACCACTTTCTAATTTACGCTTATTGTCAATGACTTGTAAAATTTGTGGCCGCGACATTTTGTTGCTTTGGTGTTTGACTTTGTTGCGTCGAAATGAATCTGTGGTCGTTGTAGTGGTGGTTGTGGTAGTGGTTGTTATTACTTTAACGGGTCTTGCTCTGTAAATTTGATTGCTGAGCACTCTTCTTTCTTTGGATTTGGGCGATAACAAGAGTTTTTTGGTTTCTGCTATGCTTAAATGTTGACTTGAGCTATTAGCTTGTGTGAGCGTTGTCGGATATTGTTGTCTGCGATGTTTGGAGGGCACTCTCTTCAGAGAACCTCCTCCTCGATTACTTCCTGTAGTTATTGGCTTTTCTTTAAGTCGCTCTTTCGAAAATCTCACCATTAACACCTCATCCGCGTTTTCAATTCTATTGTTTTTCTTTTTGGTACTACCTAAATGGAAATTTTCCTTTTCCTCTTCTCTTTGCTCCTCTTTGGTTTCCAAACTCTGTATGGAATCTTCTTCTATAATATTATTTTGGGCATCCGTTACCACGATGCGGAATAGAGAATTTTTGGTTGTTTGATTTTGTAATTTATTACATTTAATTTCTTTGGTTTCTTCTTGTATGTCTTCGTATTGACTTAAAGTATTTTCCAAACGAAATTTGGCTCGATTGGCAAATTCAATTTGTTGCAATTGGGTACGTCTACCACTTGCACGTATTTCTTTGGCTCTACGCTCGATTTGTTGACTAAAATTTTCAATTTCAATTCCAGGTGCGTCTTTGGATTTCTCCAAACTGTCGTAGCTTTGTAGTTGGGGGGAATGTTGCTGCAGTGATTTTGTGGTATCAAAATTTTTGTTTGGGGTTGCTTCAACTTCTGGTATAAAGCTGGCTTGTTTACAAACGTCTTCTGTTGGTTTGGATATTTCCGTGTTTTCAGGGCTTAAATTGTCGGGTGATGGCGGTTGCGGTATTGGAGTTGTATCTTTATCTGAAAGAGTAAAAAATCAAAGTTGAATTTTAGTTCTAATTCAGTTCTAGTTCAGGTCTAGTTCAGTTTTAGTTCAGTTTTAGTTCAGTTCTAGTTCAGTTCTAGTTCAGTTCTAGTTCAGTTCTAGTTCAGTTCTAGTTCAGTTCTAGTTCAGTTCTAGTTCAGTTCTACTTCTAGTTCAGTTCTACTTCTAGTTCAGTTCTACTTCTAGTTCAGTTCTACTTCTAGTTCAGTTCTACTTCTAGTTCAGTTCTACTTCTAGTTCAGTTCTACTTCTAGTTCAGTTCTACTTCTAGTTCAGTTCTACTTCTAGTTCAGTTCTACTTCTAGTTCAGTTCTATTTCTAGTTCAGTTCTACTTCTAGTTCAGTTCTACTTCTAGTTCAGTTCTACTTCTAGTTCAGTTCTACTTCTAGTTCAGTTCTAGTTCAGTTTTAATTCAGTTCTAGTTCAGTTTTAATTCAGTTCTAGTTCAGTTCTAGTTCAGTTCTAGTTCAGTTCTAGTTCAGTTCTAGTTCAGTTCTAGTTCAGTTCTAGTTCAGTTCTAGTTCAGTTCTAGTTCAGTTCTAGTTCAGTTCTAGTTCAGTTCTAGTTCAGTAGTTCAGTTCTAGTTCAGTTCTAGTTCAGTTCTAGTTCAGTTCTAGTTCAGTTCTAGTTCAGTTCTAGTTCAGTTCTATTTTCACTTGACTCTTATCTTACCCTCATGAATTTCAAATGAATTATCTGAACTCCAAGAATCTTCCTTTGCCAACTGATGCTGCTCTTCCTCCTTCTTTTCCGTTTGTAACTCAAAAACTTGACTTTCTTTTTGTTTAAATTCTTGATGGGCTCTACCAAATCGCTTTATAGAATCATAAATTTCCTCACTAGTCACAACTTCATCGCGTAACTGACGATTGTTATTACTATTATTACAATGATTAGTACTTGATGCTAACGACGACGTGTGAGACGTATCGTGCTGTAAATGACAATCGTCTACCGTATCGTCTAATGAACAGCAATTATTTAAATTATATGATGACCTTAGTTGCGCATCAATGCTTTCAGAAACCTTAAGAATTTGTCCGATATTAACGTCCGGTAAACTGTGATATTGATTATCACTAAGATTTGATTTCAAAGGTATGTAAAGTGGTTCCGCCACTTGACGTTTCAGATGACTGGCATGCGTGTAGCCGGAAGAGCCAGATGATGAGTCTGTTGTGTTGGGCGGTGTAAGCCCCTTTTCAGATGAATCGCTTACGTTAGAAGAATACGCAGAGTCTGAATAACGTTTTAGTTTGCGTTTTTCAACAACAGATAAAATCTTTGGTTTACTAGCTGCACTTGAGGTAACACCAGCCGGTATGGTAGTGGTATGCTGTTGCTGTAAAGTACTGCTGCAGGGAGTATGTTCAATTTTCAAAATTTGCGTATAAATAGGTTTAATATCTTCCGCATCTAAATCGTCACAACGATCTAAAATTTCGATTTTAGTATTTACCGTTTCCACAAAGCTTATAGTTTCTGGCGTTTCCTGAGTTTTACAATTCACTTCAAACTTGTGTTGTTTAGCTTGGGGTTCATAGATAGTGTCCTCTATGGAAATGTGTAGTAGAGTCTCTACCTCATCAATACAGGTGCATACACTGGCTACCTCTAAAGAAGTATCGCAACCATCTACATCTATTAATGTACTATCGGAACTTTCTTCAGATGAGAGATAAACCGAGTCATAGGCTATAATTTTTTGTAAATTATCACTTACAGCCCGTGCCCTCTTTAGGGTACCTTCAATTTCTGTATCTGTGGTTGTGTGTCTATTGGAGTCTTCTGTATCGTCAGCTTCTTCCTCTTCTCCAACTTCCTTGGATGTAGCATCTGGTTCGGTACGAAATCTATGTGAATTTATTTGTTCCTCTAGAAAACAATCTCTTTCTCGTTCGCGCTCCTCCTCTTCTTCTGGATCTTCTGCCTCGTCTTCGGTTGTTTCAAATCTAGTGCGTGTAGTTGTGGTCAAGCTTATGATTTCGTAACTCTCTTCGTCACCCTCAATCTGAGTTTTTTGAAATATTTCTTCGATTTTTGTTATATCATATTCTTGTTCCGACAACGAAGCACTATCGGTTTGATCATCTGAATTGCTGGTGGTGGTCTCGGGAAATACACTACTCTGACTATTCTCGGGACAAGATTCACCACCACTAGCAGGCGTGGAATTCGATTGTTTATGAGATTTTTCTAAATTACAAGAACGTTTCTGCCTTCTCGATTGATATATGCGAGGTTTGTCCTGCGCCAATAAATGTACCGCCTGTTCAAATGTTTCAAATTCCAATTGTTGCTGTTGATGAGGATGCTGGTGCAAGTGTTGCTGCTGTTGATGATGTTGTTGTTTCAAATCGTTCGATTGATGTAGAGAATTTTTAAAATAATCCGAATTTAAACTTTCTAAATCACTCTTATCGTTATGCCACGGATGCAATTGTTCCGTGACAAGGCCAAGTGCTAGTTTATCTAAACGTTTTAAATGTTCATAATAATCATTTGTTGTAGCTGCAGTTCCCACTGTAGATTGTAGCTCATGGTAGTGGGGATGATAATGTAAATGTTGTGACTGTTGTTGCTGTTGAAGTTGTTGTTGCTGCTGCTGTTTATGATGCAGTAATTGTAATTGTTGTTGATGTGAATCACAAGTCTCAGCAATACTTTCAGTACTCTGTTCGTCTAGATCTTGACAGTAACAACCATTGATTTGTCCGCCTCCTCCTCCGCCGCCAGACGTCGAATTACATCCACTATTGTTACAATTGCAATTTGTTGTCAGTTTTTCTTTTGATGTGTGGTGATGATGATGATGTTTATTGTTGCCACAAATTAATCTATTGGGAAAATATGGAAAAAAAATAATGAAAAATCATTGTTTATAAACAATTTGTTTTAAAGGGGAAAAAATCATCTTTCTTCAATAGGGTTTCATTTTGCAACTTAAAAAGTATTTTATTAGTTTTTTTTTTATTATTTTGAAATGTAAATATAATCACCTGAACGTCACGTTTGAATTGCTACCTAGACCTTGTTCAATCATAAGTTATTCTCAATTGTTTTAGATTCTATCATCTAATTAAAGTTGTGTTGTATTAGTATTATGTAAATTTTATTTGATTTGTATTCAATGATTTGTTCGTAGAAACAATAAAGATTTTTGAGATTAAAACTTTTTTGTCATATAATATCTTCTACATTACGATCTTTAGTTAATTACCAGGATTACACGGAGCTGTCTGTAGTCGAGACTATAGTAGACACTATAGAATAGTCTATAGTCGAGACTGTAGTAAACTCTATAGTCGAGACTATAGAATAATCTATAGTCGAGACTATAGAGCAGTCCATAGTCGGGATTATAGAGCAGTCTATACTCGAGACAATATAACAGTTTTTAGACTATAGTCGATACCATAGAAAAGTCTATAGTCGGGACTACAGAACAGTCTTCACTCGAGATGATAGAACAGTCTATAGTCGAGACTATAGATGAATCTATAGAAGGGAATATAGAACAGTCTATAGTCGGGACTATAGAACAGTCTATAGTCGGGACTATAGAACAGTTTATAGTCGGGACTATAGAACAGTCTATAGTCGGGACTATAGAACAGTCTATAGTCGGGACTATAGAACAGTCTATAGTCGGGACTATAGAACAATCTATAGTCGGGACTATAGAACAGCCTATAGTCGGGACTATAGAACAGTCTATAGTCGGGACTATAGAACAGTCCATAGTCGGGACTATAGAACAGTCTATAGTCGGGACTATAGAACAGTCTATAGTCGGGACTATAGAATAGTCTATAGTCGGGACTATAGAACAGTCTATAGTCGGGACTATAGAACAGTCTACAGTCGGGACTATAGAACAGTCTATAGTCGGGACTATAGAACAGTCTACAGTCGGGACTATAGAACAGTCTACAGTCGGGACTATAGAACAGTCTACAGTCGGGACTATAGAAGAGTCTATAGTCGGGAGTATAGAAGAGTCTATAGTCGGGACTATAGAAGAGTCTATAGTCGGGACTATAGAACAGTCTATAATCGGGACTATAGAACAGTCTATAGTCGGGACTATAGAACAGTCTATAATCGGGACTATAGAACAATCTATAATCGGGACTATAGAACAATCTATAGTCGGGACTATAGAACTGTCTATAGTCGGGACTATAGAACAGTCTATAGTCGGGACTACAGAACAGTCTATAGTCAGGACTATAGAACAGTCTATAGACAGGACTACAGAACAGTCCATAGTCGGGACTATAGAACAGTTTATAGTCGGGACTATAGAACAGCCTATAGTTGGGACTATAGAACAGTCTATAGTCGGGACTATAGAACAGTCTATAGTCGGGACTATAGAACAATCTATAGTCGGGACTATAGAACAGCCTATAGTCGGGACTATAGAATAGTCTATAGTCGGGACTATAGAACAGTCTATAGTCGGGACTATAGAACAGTCTATAGTCGGGAATATAGAAGAGTCTATAGTCGGGACTATAGAAGAGTCTATAGTCGGGACTATAGAACAGTCTATAGTCGGGACTACAGAACAGTCTATAATCGGGACTATAGAACAATCTATAATCGGGACTATAGAACAATCTATAGTCGGGACTATAGAACAGTCTATAGTCGGGACTATAGAACAGTCTATAGTCAGGACTATAGAACAGTCTATAGTCAGGACTATAGAACAGTCTATAGTCGGGACTATAGAACAGTCTATAGTCAGGACTATAGAACAGTCTATTGTCGGGACTATAGAACAGTCTATAGTCGGGACTATAGAACAGGCTATAATCGGGACTATAGAACAATCTATAGTAGGGACTATAGAACAGTCTATAGTCGGGACTATGGAACAGTCTACAGTCGGGACTATGGAATAGTCTACAGTCGGGAGTATGGAAGAGTCTATAGTCGTTACTATAGAGCAGTCTATAGTCGGGACTATAGAAGAATCTATAGTCGGGACTATAAAAGAGTCTATAGTCGGGAGTATAGAAGAGTCTGTAGTCGGGAGTATAGAAGAGTCTATAGTCGGGACTACAGAACAGTCTATAGTCGGGACTACAGAACAATCTATTGTCGGGACTATAGAACAGTCTATAGTCAGGGCTATAGAAGAGTCTATAGTCGGGACTATAGAAGAGTCTATAGTCGGGACTATAGAACAGTCTATAGTCGGGACTATAGAACAGTCTATAGTCGGGACTATAGAACAGTCTATAGTCGGGACTATAGAACAGTCTATAGTCGGGACTATAGAACAGTCTATAGTCGGGACTGTAGGACTGTCTATAGTCGGGACTATAGAACAGTCTATAGTCGGGACTGTAGGACTGTCTATGCTTGAGACTATATAACTCTGTTTACCCTAGTCTATAGTCGGGACTATAGAATAGTCTATAGTGGGGACTATAGAATAGTCTATAGTGGGGACTATAAAGCAGTCTATAGAACAGTCTATACATTCGGGACTATAGAATAGTCTATAGTGGGGACTATAGAATAGTCTATAGTGGGGACTATAAAGCAGTCTATAGAACAGTCTATAGAACAGTCTATAGTCGGGACTATAGAACAGACTATAGAACAGTCTATAGTCGGGACTATAGAACAGTCTACAGTCGAGACTATAGAACAGTCTGTAGTCGGGAATATAGAACAGTCTATAGTCGGGACTATAGAACAGTCTGTACTAGAGATAAAGGAACAGTCTAAGGCTATAAAACTGGCTATAGTCGAGACTGTGGATTAGTCTACTAGCATTTATGGCTTTAATGATTCGTTTAATAAAATCGACATAATTTAACCTTAGAAATATAATAACAAATATAAATGATGGCATATTTCTAAATTCGAACATTCTTTTAAAAATTCCAATTAATTAATAAAATTCTCTTAAACGAGACAAAAAAGTTTCCGCATTTTCCATGTAAATGTCATGAATGTTTATTAAGGATTATAAAATATTGTATAAAACTTAATGAGGTATAATTTTTTTATTTTTATAAGATATTCCTTTTATTTCCGTGTAATTAATAAAATTACATGGAATTGTTGTTAAATGAAGTCGCATTTAAACACTACATTAATTTCATCCATTAATAATGTGGACATGCAATCCATTTTATTTTAACACAGAATGTGATTCCCCAAAGTCTACTAAAACAAATCGAAAAACGGCCAAGAAGGCAAGAGAAATTTACCAATAAAAAATGATTTTTTTTCATTAATTTTTGTAATATTTTATTAATTTAATTTTGTCGTGATTACGACCGTGCAGTTTTATTCTTTGTTTTCACTTTAAATTAATTATTTTTTTAAAACTTTACTTACAAAACAAGTTCCAATTAAAAAATCTTGTGGTGGGGATTTCATATATTTTTTTGTTTGTTTTTTCGACACAAACATCAAAACTTCTTTATGTCATCAAAACTAGTTAGTGTTAAAATCACACAAAAATTTGATTAATTGCACCCGGAGCTGGAGGTTTTTATAAATTGTATGTTATGAATACACTATGACTTTTTGCCAAATTTTATTATTATTTTTTCTTTTTTTTAACAATTTGATGTTTATTTGTAGAACTTAAAACATGTCAACGCCAATAACAACTGAATCAAAATTTCAGTTAAAAATTTTTAACAACCTGTAGATTTCACCGCAGTTAGTTGTTTTTATTATTTATTTTTTTCATTTTAACTGAATTCAATACCTCATCTCTACCCAAAAAACATGTAAAGCCCCCTTCCCCCCCTAAAAAGCAACTGAAAGCTTCAAAAAAGGTTTAACTAAAATCAACTGAAATACAAAGTTAAATTCTCATCGCGTCAGTGGTTGTGCGTCATCATTGTAAACAAGAGCACGCGATGTTTTTTCTTCAGTAACAGACGTTTTTATTCATTTTTTTTTTTAGTTTTTAAATTTTTCAAATAAAATCTTCCCTTGTTTATTTATTTACCTTAAGCTGTATATATTTTGCAAGTTTTTTTGCTGTTATAAAAATTGTTAAATAAAATAAACTGAAATAAGTCAAGATATAAAAATTGAATTTTAAAGATTCTTAAGAATATACTTGAGACAATAAAACAATCTTTAGTAGAGACTATAGAATAGTCTATAGTCAAGACTTTGGAATAGTGAATAGTTGAAACTGGAATAGTCTATAGTCGAGACTTTGGAATAGTTTATAGTTTAGACTGGAATAGTCTATAGTCAAGAATATAGAACAGTTTATAGTCGAGACTATAGAATAGTCTATAGTCGAGACTATAGAACAGTCTATAGTCGAGACTATAGAACAGTCTATAGTCGAGAGTATAGAATTGTCTATAGTGAAGACTTTAGAATTGTCTATAGTCGAGACTATATAGATCTGTCTATAGTCGAGACTATATAGATCTGTCTATAGTCGAGACTATAGAACTGTCTATAGCCGAGACTATAGAATTGTCAATAGTCGAGACTATAGATTTGTCAATAGTCGAGACTATAGAACTATCTATAGTCGAGACTATAGAACTGTCTATAGTCGAGACTATAGAAGTGTCTATAGTCGAGACTATAGAACTGTCTATAGTCGAGACTATAGAACTGTCTATAGTCGAGTATATAGAACTGTCTATAGTCGAGAATATAGAACTGTCTATAGTGAAGACTTTAGAATTGCCTATAGTCGAGACTATATAGATCTGTCTATAGTCGAGTCTATATAGATCTGTCTATAGTCGAGACTATATAGATCTGTCTATAGTCGAGACTATAGAACTGTCTATAGCCGAGACTATAGAGTTGTCAATAGTCGAGACTATAGATTTGTCAATAGTCGAGACTATAGAACTATCTATAGTCGAGACTATAGAACTGTCTATAGTCGAGACTATAGAAGTGTCTATAGTCGAGACTATAGAACTGTCTATAGTCGAGTATATAGAACTGTCTATAGTCGAGAATATAGAACTGTCTATAGTGAAGACTTTAGAATTGCCTATAGTCGAGACTATATAGATCTGTCTATAGTCGAGACTATATAGATCTGTCTATAGTCGAGACTATATAGATCTGTCTATAGTCGAGACCAAAGTATAACAAGTAGTCCGACTCTCACGTACACGATATTCCACCTCCACATTTACGGGTGCTGTGTGAATTCAACACCTTGGTGAAAAATATTATTGTGTCAAAATACTTCAAATCTCTACTTACATTTTCGAATAAATAGCTGGTTCCACGCGAAATCTCACCTGTCCACATAAAAAGTAAAATTTTTAAAATACTTTTACGAAATTTTTTCTTTAAAATTCCGTTTATTTTGAGCAAACTGAAAATTTTATTTTTTATTTATTATTGACATTTATTTTTTTTGTGGTAGAATTTTAATTTAAAAGCAGAGTTACATTTTTCTGTATTGAAAATTCAAACAAATAAAATTTTATGAATTTTTATAAAACTCTGTATGTCTGGTGAAAATTTTAAATGCTCTAATACATAAACATTTTTGTTACTAATACAAATTTAGAGTTAGGTACTTTTTCACTAACACATGCTTAGAATTAGGTACTGCTGTCAAAGAGTCGGACTACTTGTTATACTTTGGTCGAGACTATAGAACTGTCTATAGTAGAGATTATGAAACTGTCTATAGTCGAAACTATACAACTGTCTATAGTGGAGACTATAGAATTGTCTATAGCCGAGACTATAGAATTGTCAATAGTCGAGACTATAGAACTGTCTATAGTCGAGAATATAGAACTGTCTATAGTCGAGAGTATAGAATTGTCAATAGTCGAGGCTATAGATTTGTCTATAGTCGAGACTCGTCAATTCAGACGATTATAAGAAAATCATAAAATTTCATTGCCAAACAATTGTTAGACAATAAATTTATCTGTTGTCAGATTATTGTTGTCAGATTCGTGGTTAGACTGTAATGCAAGTATTGCCAATAGAAATAATTTATCTGACAATGGTGCCATTGTCAAAGGCATAAAACTCGCACATCTGACAAAAAAAAAATTCATACAACTATCTTACATTGATCTGACAATTGCAACGTAATGTGTTTACACGATTGTCAGATGTCTGACAATATAATTGTTTTACAATATACTGGCAATGCCTTTTCCGATAACCTTGGAACACAAAAATTGTAAGTTCACATGGTCCTTAGGCATTTTCTGAAAACATTGTAAGATCTGACAATGGTGTATACATAGCTAAAGTTCTAATTGCACCATCAGAGTTCTCGTCTAAAAAGGAGTAGCATATTCGATAAATAAGTTTTGGATGATCGAAAATTCATATCAAAATTCAATGACTCATTTATATCTTACTTAAATACTTAATACTCACACAACATTTTAAAATTAAGTAATTTTGATATTATTAGCTTTTTAAAACGTTATAATTATCTGTTTGCTTTTGCGCTATTCTTATTTTCTATAAATATTCACGCCATAAAAGAAAAAAAAACATATTTTTTAATTAAATATTAACCTTCACACGTTCACAACAGTTTCGTAAACAAAACGAAAATAAACAATAAAATTTAGCGAATTCGGACTATATATTTAGACCTAGACCCACCACTTTCACAAATGATCTATCCCTTTTGTCTACTTCCTCACCCACTTACCTTTCACGTTCCCGAAAATAACCGCGATTAACTAAACGAGCACGCGGTATCAGTTGTGATCGACGACTACCATTTGAAGAACTAATTTGCAGATCGCTAAATGTCTCCTCACGTATAACGGCTAAACTGCGCGATCGTCTCAGACTACACGAATCGCTAGCGAATTCAAATGGTTGTGGTGGTATTGAGCTGTTGTTTGATGGATGTTGTTGTTGTTGCTGTAGGTTTTGCTGACGCGTTTGATGTGTATGTTGTTGTTGCTGCTGCTGTTGTTGTTGATGTTGCTGCGGCTGTTGATGTTGTTGTTGCTGTAGTTGTTGGGAAGATTGATAGATATTATTTGTAGAATGATGATAATTTTCATCAGCTGTTAATTAAAAGAATAATAAAAAAAACAAGTTTAAGTTAATTGTTTGCGGTTGTTGTTGCTAATTGTAAAATTAAAGTTAAAATTGAAATAGCAGTTAGAGAGTTCTTCGTTTCGGATAGGGAAACTAAAACGAATATTAATAAATCCTACATAGAGAATCATTGAATTTTGTATAGACATTTTAATCTTCTTTGCAAAAGCGACTGAGTGATTAGGAGCTAAGAACCCCAAGCGTTTTTAAAACTGTTTTCGCAGTATTTCACGTTTTTAAAATTAAGATTCAAGACGAATCTCGATTTTTTGACATTCAGATTGACAGAGTACTTACATATGTAGTTTGCTTCCCCTTTAGTCTAAAATAGTTTAGATCATTAGTTTTTAATACGATTTTAAACAAATTTGTTCCTAACGGTTCCAAAAAGTACAACCAACTAAATAGACCTACATATAAACGATGAGCTGACTGAAGTAAAACAATAAAACACCTGATAATACATTAATTATATATTAAAAACCGTCTTTATCTATTTTCATATTAAATAAAAGCTTTATAATTATTTTGTTTTAATTGCCAACATACATTCAAAACACTTAAAAGCTTAGAGCAAACTCAAGATTATATCGAAAACTACAAATATTTAATCGCACAATTTGTATGGGAAGGGAAATGTGGCAAAAAAAACAAAAGTCGTTTTTGAAGTTAGATTGAAAAAACATGATAAATGAATAAATATTGGTCGCACTTTTTCCTTGATACTGAGTCAACGTTCCCAGATATATAGATAGATAGATAGATAGATAGATAGATAGATAGAAGTAGATAGATAGATAGATAGATAGATAGATAGATAGATAGATAGATAGATAGATAGATAGATAGATAGATAGATCGCTAGATAGATAGTAGATTAGATAGATAGATAGATAGATAGATAGCTAGATGCCGCATAGCATCAGATAGCTACGATACGCTCGCTCGCTTCGATACGTTAGCTCGCTCGTTCGATAGATCGTTAGCTAGCTAGTGCTCAGACTAGCTCGCTCGCTCGCTCGCTCGCTCGCTCGCTCGCTCGCTCGCTCGCTCGCTCGCTCGCTCGCGCTGGCTCGCTCGTCGCTCGCTCCTCGCTCGCTCGCTCGCTCGCTCGCTCGCTCGCTCGCTCGCTCGCTCGCTCGCTCGCTCGCTCTCTCGCTCGCTCTCTCGCTCGCTCGCTCGCTCTCTCGCTCGCTCGCTCGCTCGCTCGCTCGCTCGCTCGCTCGCTCGCTCGCTCGCTCGCTGCTCCTCTCGCTCGCTCGCTCGTCGCTCGCTCGCTCGCTCGCTCGCTCTCTCGCTCGCTCTCTCGCTCGCTCGCTCGCTCGCTCGCTCCTCGCTCGCTCGCTCGCTCGCTCCTCGTTCGCTCGCTCGCTCGCTCGCTCGCTCGCTCGCTCGCTCGCTCGCTCGCTCGCTCGCTCGCTCGTCTCGCTCGCTCGCTCGCTCGCTCGCTCCTCGCTCGCTCGCTCGCTCGCTCGCTCGCTCGCTCGCTCGCTCGCTCGTCGCTCGCTCGCTCGCTCGCTCGCTCGCTCTCGCTCCTCGCTCGCTCGCTCGCTCGCTCGCTCGCTCGCTCGCTCGCTCGCTCGCATCGCTCTCTCGCTCGCTCGCTCGCTCGCTCGCTCGCTCTCTCGCTCAGCTCCTCGCTCGGCTCCGCTCGCTCGGCTCGCTCGCTCGCTCGCTCGCTCGCTCGCTGCTCCCTCG